GCGCTGAATTGCATCAGCAAAAGCGTGCGTGAAAACTGTGTTCAGCCACCTTAATAATCCGAACTGACATAAGTTCAAAATCAGTCCTACTCCAGCATCAAAACAAAAATTTCACGACAGATTTCACTAATTTCTTACATGGAGCGAAGTAACTTCTGTATGGAGCGAATTAACTTTTGTATGGAGGGAGGTGAGTTTTGGTTGGGGTGAAGTGACTGGGTGCGAAATGACCATGGGGCGAAGTGACCGTAATTCGTTGAGATTTTCATCTTTCATCATAGACATGTCTATTCCTGGTTTTCACATGACTTCATCACTGCCATGCATGGTGGATGACATTAAGCCATTTCTAATCAGCTTCTTTCGTTTTCATACAACATGGTCACCACGCCTTTATTATTTGAGTCTCTCGAGACATAAATTCTCGTCAGCTGTGTCACTGCCTTGCTAGCAATTTGTTACTGTGCCTTTCAATAACATGCGGACTCTGAAATTCAAAGCTCAACCGACAAATGCATTTTGCTTCCGTCAATCAAATGTTCTGCAGCTCCTCCCAGTTTCTGACTATGTTGTCTGAACTGCGCTCGACGATTTGATTTGATTATCGCGCACTTGGCAGTAGTCGGAAGCTGGGAGGAGCCACCGAACATTTGATTGACGGTAGCGAAAATGCATTTGTCGGTTGAGCTTTGAATTTGAGTCCGCATGTTATTGAAAGGTGCAGTAAGGAGAAGATACATAGTGATAACTTGACGTTTGAACATTTGCTGGGCTTAATGCTGGTTATCAATTTGCTAAATTGACTAATTACAGACGAAATGTGACCAGGTCGGTCCTTAAAGTCTGTACACAGACCATTTGGTCTTTCGTGTCAGGACTAACTCCAGTCTGCTTAGCAGGAGTCGATTGATGCTCTGTCTTCCCCCCCTGAATAGGATAGTTGTCCATCACAGATCAGCTCCCCCCCCTTTGAATTTTTGCCTTTTAAGTTTCTCAGTGACAGCCTTAATTACTCCTGGGTGGAGAGATTGAGTTAGATGCTAGTACCGCTTGCTGCCATACCTGGGCAACTCGCTCCAGGGCCACTGCGTCCTGTCCTCCATCGGTCTATGACGCCGTAGTTTATTTGTGTCCTCTTTTCATTCCTTAGGTGGAAATGTGTTTGCTGGGGTACACCCTCGGGCTTGTCATCCAAGTCATACGCCCTTCTCAAGTGGACAAAGAAGATTTCATAGCGTACTATCCTTTGTTAGCTGACATGCCTAAATACACTCCGACAGTCACATTAGTGGCAGAAGATGACAGGCATTATAACATTGTCATGTAGCTGGGTAATTTAGTGAACAAGACCTCCGACCTTTTCAGATGCAATGTTTGTCGTAAAGTTTTGTATTTTCCGCTTCAAATTACAATTTTGTCACTTGTACACGCACACGTACATGTAAACCATTTCACTTTTGCTCAATCTTTAACATGTTTGTTTCCGTTTTTTTTACTGTTACATTAACCATAGAGCAGTTTTCAATGGAGTGTCGAAAGTAATCAGGAAATATAACTTTGGTTTTGATTTGCTTTTACTTAAGTTTGAGATTGGCTGAGTAGTCTAATTGGTAAGCAATTGGTTTGGTTTTGGTTTCATGATGTGGGGAACGTTTTCACCCAGTACACCAAATATAAAATCACTAGTCCATGTTACTTCCTGATTTAATGCTCTGTATTGTCATATCCAAAAAATGTATAGACAAACACAACAAAAACGTCTCTGCAACGTCTACCACGAGGCCCTTATTTGCATATCACATGACCTCTACGAGGCTAGACTAATTTGCATATTTCACGATTCTGGACACCCTCCCCCCATTGAAGTGTTTTAACTTAACAGCTTAAATGTCAATTTAATTATCCTTAAATTCCTGCTCAACAATGTTTCTGATCTGACCGTTGGCAATCTGTTTGGCTCGTCGCTTTGGTCTTACCCTTGACGAAAACCTCAGCATCTGGGTTTGGTTTCCACTCAGAATCGCTCCCTCTGTTCCATCCTTGCTGGTAATCTTGCTCACCACTCACCCCAGCTTCCACATTGCTTTATCCTTGCTTCACCCTTGAACAACACCACTGCCCCTGTGTTTGGTATCTTCTCAGTGTTCCCTTCAAACTGCTGTTGCCTTTCTTCTAGGGCGTGAACATTCTCCTTCATGAATCTCTTTCGGAGGTACTGTTTGCTTTTCTCCAGAAATCTCATATGCTTAGTGGCATTGTCTTCTCCAATCTTCTCCAGGTCTTCCTCTAAGATAGGGATTGCCTCCCCTCTCAGTAGGGTATTTGGGGTAAGCACTGGTTTCTCAAACTCTTCACCTTGATAAAGGAGTGGCCTGTTGTTCATGGTCATCTCAACATCCAGCAAGACGTCCTCTAGCTCTTGGAAGGTTAGCAGGCTTTGGCCGATCACCTTCAATAGAGTTCTCTCATGCTGATAAGGCGTTCAAAGAGGCCTCCCCATCATGGTACGCGGGTCAGGTTAAATCTCCAAAACTCCCATATAGTTTGCCAGATGCTGGTCCTTCTTCAGCTTTGATAGCCGTTTTCCAGTAGCAACAAATGTCTTTCCATTGTCACTCACAATGTTCTGAGGGCAGACTCCCCTGGCAACAAATTCCTGTAGTGCTCTCTGGAATTCCTGGGCAGACAGGTAACGACATAACTTGAGATGTACTGCATGAGTACTGGTACAGGTGAATAGTGAAATGTATGCCTTTGAAGTAGTAGATATTCTTAATCTTGTAGTAGACAGGCCCAGCAAAACCCACTCCTGTAACAGCAAAAGGGTTTGACAGTTCAGTTCTGAGAACTGGCAGAATAGAATCTGAGCTATGCAATTGCGGATCACTTTCTTTGTAAGCAACCTCAGTTTTGGTATCCAATACTTCTCTCTCATAGGGCACATGGTTGTCGAAACTCCACCATGTAGCATCTGCTCATGGACTTGTTGAATGATTGAGGTGGCCAGCTTGCTATTTCTTGGTAGAAAGAGAGGATGATGATGGGGAACTCTGCCAACACATCTCAATACTCCTTCCTCCTCATCCTTTCTTGACCCCACGTCTGACTTTGATGCTTGTGTGACTTGTGCCTGAATGATCCAGAACTTCTCTGCTGCCTGGAGTTCTTCAGTCATTAGCGGCCCTTTCTGCTTCTTCAACTTTCTGCAATTGTTCATGAATCGCTTGACGAAAACAGTGACTCTTAGAAGCTTCCAGTATGACGCGTACTTGCCCAGAAGAGTGTCTCTGGTCTCATTCGCTTCTTCTGTCTCTTTCACTAGGAGCTGTTTCTCATGCTTGGGTTTCACCCTTTCCTTTTCATTCTCTGGGCTTTCAGACACTTCAGGTTGATTTGGCCATCTGTCTTGAGCACTTAGCCACTCTGGTCCCTGAAACCACAACTCCCCCATTATGTTCGGTGCCACACCCTGGCTTCCTTGATTGCTAGGGTTTTCACTGGTTGTCACTGGTTGGAACATGATGCCACTGTATCTCTCTATCCTTGTCCTGGATAGCCTTGGTTCTATTACGCACAAATTGAGCCAGGTTCCTTGTCCCTTAATCCAATAAAGCTCTGTCATACTGTTGACCCCACAGTGATATACATCGATGTGCTGATCTTTCAAGACTTCCTTCACATGAGGCATCAATCTGCTCAGGGTATATGCTGCAACACGTTCCAAACGGGGAATTTACTGATATCTTGGTGCTATCCTTGACTTTGCCACAAGCAGATTCTGGCAAACTGGTGCAGTGGCGTGAATTGCTAGGGCGTATACAGCTACTGAAACAGCCAACTTGCTGGCATCTGTAAATCCATGCAGGTGACCCCAAGTTGTACGGCACACAAAAGCACTCCGATGTATAGACAATTCCTGAGTTTAATAACGAAAATGAAACAAAAATTACAAAATAACTGGTCTCACGATCCTCGTGTTGTTTGTGTTGTCTCCTCGGAAAACCTCCCTATTTCACAGTACTTCTCCGTCTCCTAATTTCAATTTCACTTGTCAATCATCTGAATACTAAATGTGACATCCGGTTGTAATGCTAGGCAGTCATGATAGTTGCGGTCACGCTCCCATGAAAATTGAGTGTCACTAACTTTTCACTTAATCACAATCAGTGTCACTTAAAGGTGAAACTAATCAAAGCCCAATCATCTGCGGCAATCAATCTGATTTTAACTCCTGTGTCTACTGCTGCCCTTCTTCTCTCAATAGTTCTGCCTTGTACTCTGGTCTCTGCTAACTCCTCCGTGTTCCCTTCATGTCGGCTCTGTATTTCGAGGGGACATACCAGCTGGAGTGGCCCGCTGGATTTGGTTTCCCTTGTGCAGCAAACCAACTCCTCTTACAACTCCGTCTCTGCCTCTGATGTGTCTCAGAACATGACCTTTCTTCCATTCTCCTGTTCTTCTCATCACCGATGACAAGTACGATCTCTCCAATTTCTGGGTAAATTACTCTTGCCTCTCTTGATTCGGTGACTTTCCATGAGACCGTGAACATACTCCTTTTTCCACCTCTGCCACAAATGTTGCCTTTTCTCATTCAATCACGCATGTAACTTAGTGACTTCATCTCCAGCCAACTCTATGTCTTCTATAGTATACGCCTCTTGTCCCCACGTGATTGTGTTGGGCGTCAACACTTGTTCCTCTCCTGTTTCGCTTTCCATGTATGTTAGGGGACGGTTGAGGTGTCGTTCGAAATCCATCACTACAGCATCAACTTGCGCGTACTCTAGGTGTGTTCTCCCCATTGTGTTGTACAAGGTTCTCTTCACCTCTTTGATTAGCCTTTTGTATAATCCTCCCCACAACGACGATCTTGATAAGTTGAACTGCCACATTATCTGCTGTTGTGCTAAGAAGTCTTGCAGTGCTTCACTCTTGCATATCTTCCTGATCCAGGTGGCTGTGGTTTTGAAGGTGGCTGCGTTGTCCGACACAATGCGTTTTGGTCTGGTACAGCGTGTGAATCTGTTGTGCTTTCTGTGGAATTCCTCAGCTGTTTGTGACATGGTCATCTCTAGGTGCACTGCTCATGAAGTTGCATATGTGAATATCAAGATGTGACACTTGCCCTGCTCTTTCTTGGAAATCTTGTAACTGAGGGGTCCTGCGTAGTCGATCTCTGTCGTCTCAAATGGTCTTCCACATTCTGTGCGGAATGGTGGTAGTGAAGCTGTTTCTGTTGGCCCGCCAAGTGCTAAACACCTTGCCCAAGTAGCAGCTATTGATTATCTTCTTCACCTTTGATCTCAGTTGAGGCATCCACAACTCCTCTCTCACTGCTGCCATGGTGCTTGCGACTCCTAGTTGCTTTATGTCTTCGTGGATTTCATGTATTAGCTTCTCTGCAAATACTCTCCCTCAATGTACGTCGGCTGGTAGCCAGGGATCCTCCCCTTGCATTTGAAAATACTAGGGTTTTCTTCTGTTACTAACTTCCAGCTGGGGCTCTCGAGATCTGGTTCCACACCTGCCTGCTCCTTCCTTATCCATCAGTCTTTTAGGTAAATCAACTCCTGGGTCGTCAACAGCCCCTCTCTCGTCTTCGTTTTGTGTTTCTTAGTGAGTGAGTTATGTTTGAACCGCAGTGCCCACTCAGTCACTCAGAAGGTTCTCCAGAGTTTGCTTCTGGCAAGGAGCGTGTCGCACTCATCATGGTCCTTCTTGGCTGAATAAAGCGTTTCTTCCCTTTCTGGCCTGTGTTCTTCGCTAACGCCTTTAGTTTTACTAATTGCAGTTGTTTTGGCCACTCCTCAGTTAGCAACCACTCCGGCCCCTCAAACCACTGTCCTCTCTGCATCTTCTCTAGTGAGGCGCCACGGCTAAGTCTGCCAGGTTCCTGTCAGTTGGGCAGTATCTCCACTTGATTCCCGTCTCTTGGGTGATCTCAGCAATTTTTCTTATTCGATTGGATACGAATGTTTTCCATGTTCTTCCTGGGTTGCAGATCCAGAACAGTACAACCATGCTGTCCATCCACACGTTCACTGAGGTAATAGGCCACCGCTCCAGCGCTGTCAGCAAATTTTTCACCATGTTTGCAGCCATCTGACCGCCCACCAGTTCTAGCTGTGAAATCGGTGTCACGTTTTGAAATCCTTGACTTTGACGTTAGTAGCCCCTTTACAAAACCTGTTGAGTGTTCCACTACAGCAATGGTCGCTGCTAAACATGCCATGTTGCTGGTATCCGCGAAAACGTGGAGACGTACAGCCTTTATCTTGGTGATGTCTAAGGCTACACTCCTGGGCACTTTGATGTTCCTCAGCTGACTATTCCACTTGAGCCAATCTCGCGCATTGACACTGTTCATTGCAGTGTTCCAGCCAATCTTTTCATCGCATACCTCTCTGTAAATTCGCTTGCCCTCCACCATGGTCGGTGAAATTATGCCGAGTGGATCATATATACTTGAGAATTGACTGAGTATGGATCGTTTCGTCGGTGTTCGTTCACACTGTATCTATGCTTGGATTTCTAGTGCATCCTCCCTCTTGTCCCACGTGAGTCCAAGCAACTTGCTTGGATTATCCTCATCGTTTAATTCTGGGATGTTGAACTCCCACTTGTGTACTGGGAACCTGCCACCTTCAAGAATCTCAGTTGCTTCCTGTTTGAACTCCTTAAGTTCCTCCATGCCATCTCCGGTTTTCATGAGATTGTCCACTTAAGTGTTTTCTTTTAGCGCTTGAACAGTATGTTTTAACTCCGGTGGTTGTTATTGAAATGATACTGAAGGGTAGCCCCGAGCATGAATGGGCTAGCTTCTGCTCCGAAGCGCACTCTTGTAAAACGCAAATGTTCCTCCTTGCTGTTTATGTTGAACAAGAAGTGAAATTGATTGTAATTTGTAGGAATGCCTTTTGAAGGTCCGCCAGCATTATGTCAGTTGACATTCATGCTCTAATCATGATGTTCCATAGCAGCGGTTGTAGCGATGGGCCAGTGTGCATACACTCATTCACACTGTTGGCGAGTGGATGGGGTCTTGCATGTGCATCAAACACCATTCTCACCTTGGTTGAAGTAACGCTCTCTCTCACCACTGGCTTGTGGGGCATGTAAAATACACGTTCACCCGTTGGCTGCTCTGGTACTTTCTCGATGATGCCCTGCTCGATCTGCTCGTGAGCTATGTCGTCATACTCAATCTTCAGCTTGTTGTTTCTCCTCAGTTTTTGCTCTACGTTGTGAAGGCGTCTCCTGCTGGACTCCTCATTTGTATTTGAGAGCTTGGCGCCTGGAATCCACGGCACACCCACCTTGTACCTGCCATCACATCTCTTCGATATGCTAGCTTGAAATTCCTTGTGGACGTCTAGCTGATCGTCTTCCCCTCTGTCCTCTACCCCCAAAACTTTGAGCGAGTGTAGTCTTTCATACTCGTCAGTCTCTCTCACGTACACGCATTTGCTGTCTGTGTATTTCCCACCATGAACGATCCAACCAAATGTGATTCCTTCAATGATTGGATCCTGCGGTTGCCCTTTGTAGACATGTTCCGTCCTGATCTTGCAGTAGGTGGCATTCCCGAGTATTACATGGATTGGATACTGTTCGCTTGCGGTTCAGTAAAACATCTTGTCCTGTACATGTTGAAATTTCTCTTTCAGTTCTGTCAGGGTGGGCCTCTTGAAATCTGCAAGTTTGCTTCCAGTAATCCCTATTTTCTCACTTGCCTTACTGTGAATTGAGTTGATTGTCACGTCACAGATTGGAATGGACTGTTTCTGACTGTCATAGATTGGCATGGACTGTATCCTGGTCCCAGCACCACTTATGTCCCAAAGTTGTATGGCACACAAAAGGACTCACGATGTATAGACAATTCCTGGGTTTAATGACGATTATGGGTCTCACGATCTTCGTGTTGTTTGCATTTTGTCTCCTCACAAAACCTCCGTATTTCACAATACTCCTCCGTGTCCTATTTTAATTTCACTTGTCAATCATCTGAATACTGAATGTGACTTGTGGTTGTAACACTAGGCAGTCACGATAGCTCCGGTCACAAGATCACTTTGGTCAGACCTGCACCCATGACACTGCGGGGAATGGTTACATTAGGACACTTCTTCATATCATTCAGCCACTTAGTCCAGGGTTTACGTATGTCATCTGGTAGTTCTTCATCCCACGTTAGTTTCCTTGGGCAAATTTCACTGTACAGTATCTTTCCCACAATGACAACAGGTGTGGCAATTCCAAGTAGGTCAAAGATACTGTTGATAGCAGAAAACATCTTTCTCTTTGTCACTGCGCCGTCCTCAACACCTTTCAAAGTTTTTGCGAAGTTTATAGAAAAAGTGTCCTCTTCCTTGTTCCATGGGACACCTAAGATCTTTGATTCATGTGGCTGAGTTCCAACTGCCAACTTGGCATCTGTTGAATTTGTTTGAGGTGGTTCCAATTCATTCTCTCTCTGTCTCTCAATTTCTGGTACATTACTGTGCCATTTGTGTAGCTGAAATCCTCCTTTGGCCATAATCTCTGTTGCCTCCTCCTTGGCATCACCACCAGATTGCACATCATCCACATAGGTATTCTGACGCAACTCCTTTACAGTGTCAGGGTATTTTTCTTCATACTGGCAAATATGTTTCTGAAGCTAAGCGCCAAGGATGTATGGACTTGGGCCTGACCCAAAAATTACTCTAGTATAGTGGTATCTAGTAAAGTGGTAACTTTGTTGAATATGTTCCATCATCCAAACGTTGCAACTGACTTTTGAAATCCTCATGGAACAAACCCTGCACAACAGCTTCATCTGATAGTCCTAGGACTTCCTGCGAACACATCTACCTGAATTCATCTTGGCTTGACTTCAAAAAGAAATCCTTCTCAGTCTCGGTACTTGACAACATTGACTTTCCTGTGATTATCCAACCCAGCATAGTGAACTCTGCTCCGGGATCAGTGTCTCGATTCGTACCCAGAACAGCAGGCTCGGTTGTCTTGATTCGCTGTATATCTGCAGCTCCCAGGATTACATGCACTGGTAGGTTTCTTCTGTGTCTGCTTCCTCACTGAAGTTTAGTCTCCTTATCCAGTGATTAGCTTTCTTCAACTCTGAGATTGTCGGGTTAGGAAGGTGAGTCAGGACTGCCTTTTCTGCATTTATGCACTGTAATTCAAATCCAAAGCCTTCACTGACATTTGACTCAACAATGACCTTGGATATCTCCACCTGTTTGTCAACTATTCCATACATTTGCTCAATAACTCTCCTTTCAGTTCGGTATGGCTTCAGGTTCAATTTGGTAAGTAGATTTGAACTGATGTAAGAACTTCCAGCTCCACTATCCAACATGGTTCGAGCCTGTACTCCATTGATCTTAGCAATGACAGTTGCATACAATGTAGTTTGGGAATCCACCACACCATAAAACCTCTCAGATGTGCCCGATGACTCTGGCGTGGGGTTGGATGAAAGGGTCATCTTCACCCTGTTACATACAGAGGTATGGTGCCTCCCATTGCACCTCCCACACCCACGTGATTTGCATTAAGAAGCCAGATGCTCAGGCCTGGCACAGTTAAAACACAACTTATTTCTTGTTAAATGCTCTTTTCTACTGGCTGTATCTACGACTTTGGTACAGTCGCTGCTGCGATGATTGTTCAAACCACAGTAGACACAGGGTGGAGGCTTTGGTGGTTGTCGCAAGTTGCCCCCGGACATCATCAATTTGTCTTCCTTTTTGGAGACTGTCTTTGTTTCCAGGTACAGTATCAACTGAAGCCAGTGGGCTGAATTCCACCAAAAGTAGGGAGTTTTGGTCTGTATACTTCCTTAAATTTTCAACTAGCGCCTCAAGTCCCCATTCTTCCCAGTCATCATCCTTTTGGGCTATAGCCTCTCTTACAGAACCCAATTTGTCCATTATACTGTACACATAACTCTGGGCACCCTCTAGTTTCTTCGTTGAAGCTAAGGTTCGGACTGTCTTAGACAATTGTGTTTAAAACTTGGGTATCTCTTTGATTTTGTGAACACTGGTTATCTTTGGCAAGG